CTTCCACTCACCTAGAGAGGAAGCCTCCATGTTCTGCAGGACTGGAGACTGGACATGGTCTTCCTTAGACGAAACGCATTTCTCTCAGCTTTTAGCTCCTGTTCAGTGCATGTCTATTGTCATCCCTCAGCAAAGAAGCTTACAAATTTCACATTATTCTCCTTCATATAATTTTAATTTTGTTTGTTTGTTTTGTTTTGTTTTTGATTTTGGGTTTTTTTAAATTGGATATCTACTTATTTACATTTCAGATGTTATCCCCATTCCCCATCCCCCCCCAAACAGGAACTCCCTATCCTGTCCCCCTTGCTGCTGCTTCTATGAGGGTATGCCCCTACCCATCCACCCACTACCCCCTCTCCGCCCACGAATTCCCCCACACTGGGGTATCCAGCCTTCACAGGACCAAGGATCTCCTCTCCCACCAATGCCTAAAAGAGAAGGTTCTAGTCAATGAGGCAGACTCTGTACTACCTCCTGTGAGCTCATGGAAGTGGTCTAAAATCACTTCTGCTGTATTCTATTGATGGTAATGTGAGCCCATCCAGAGGGTTGCATGGATGTGACTTACTAATGAAGAAAGTTCTCAGAACTTATGCAGCAAGTCTTAAAACAGCCACAGTCTATTTTCTGGCCACATATTGCATTACTTCTATATGCAAAACAAATCTATGCCCTCTCAGGAGCCTCTATAAACATACCACACTCAGGCTCAGCATCTAGGATCTTGTCATCTGAATCCTATTCAGGGGTGAGAGGAGGCCCCTGGGTGCATTTTCTTGAGTATATTCTTTCAGGGCTTAAAGGCACTCAAAAAAGTAAATAAGCCATCTTCCCTCGACACCCAGCATCTCATGGGGAAATGATCAAAGGGCACTGCTACACATATTTGCTTTAGGAGACAGTGGATAGCGTAGGACAGGCCAACTCTGAGAGATGTATCCAACCCGCAGCCAATGGGCTGCTTCATCTCACAATAGCTGTGAACCTGGCTCAACCCATTTGTAGGGGACAGTGCAATGACCCAATTTCAAAAGGTTGGACACCACTGAATACCCTGAATTCTAATTCTTGGGCCTGACTTGTGGTGCCATTTTCTGCTCTGACGTTACCTGGGAGTTGCTCTTTAGTTATTTTCCATACATAAATTCACAATGAACTCTATTGGGTACACACTGTTATCAAGGACTGAACAGCACATGCTTGAGACATTTTTAAAGTCTATTTGAAATGGTGTGGCAAGCAGCTTCAAAAACATCCTTTGAGCTTCTTTTTTTATGTCTGCCCTTTATGATCCACTCTTCTTGGTGATATGTGATAGTGCACACACCTGGAATCCCAATACTGGAGAGATGGACCTAAAAGGACCAGGAATTAAAGATCACTATTGCCTACTTCATGAGTTCAAGGCCAACCAGGGCATCATAAGACCATATCTCCAAAAACTGAAACTACCAATCAAAAATTCATTCTTCTTTAGAGTTGCCCAAAGCTACTAACTTCCTGTTAATAATCAGAAAGGAGAAGCAAGAATAAAGCAGACACAAAACAAAGACATTGAATTCTTGAGGAAAAACTGAAGAATTTGAATACAACACATGACCATAAACTGGAGCCTGCATCTGGCTTTTATGATGACCAGTTTGTCATGTGAGGTGAACTGCAGCTCACACGAAAACCTTCACATCTTCCTCACTTGGGATTTAAAGACACTGGGGGTAGTATGGGAGTCAATCTGTCTGCACCAAAGCCACAGGCCTGATGGCTGCTTCTCCCAAGGTGAGCCTTCTGGTCACCAGCCTTGTGGCTCTGCAGCAGTATTACACTTAAACTCATCCCCAGAGTGCAGCACAGCCTGGGCCCCCTGTCTGCCTTTCAGACCAACATTCTTACGCAAAACTGTCTTTGGAAAGGTCCAGGTCAGAACCAAACTGAGAAAGGATGACTAGGGGAACCCACTTCAGCCTTAGTAAGTTGATGGAGGACAAAGTAGCTTATTTTAAAAAGCAGTAAACAGTGATACATGATTGTCCTCCTCTAAATAGCTTACTTATTCCTTTGCATTTTTAACTAATGAGGTTTCTTTTTTTCCTATCTAATATTTATTAAAAGTTGTTGAGGACGTCAGCATCATACCTTTGTAGGAAACAATAGTAATTGAACTTAGGTGATTGACATGCAAACTCAAAATTAAGTTACAGCTGTGCCATTTTGAATTTTAGAAGGCAAAGAAAAAAATCAAGATCTTTTACTCAATTTTAGTGCATGCAGACAAAAGCCTGATATATCTGTATCCTGAGAGGCTTTCCCAGAATCTGACATATACAGAGGCAGATGCTCACAGCTAACCATTGAACTGACCGTGGGGTCTCCAATGGAGAGGGTAGAGAGAAGACTGAAGAAGCTGAAAGGCTTTGTGGCCCCCATGGGAAGAGCGACAATACCAACCAACCAGAGCTCTCAGGGTCTAAACCACCAGCCTGGGAACATACATAGAGGGACCCATGGCTCTAGCCGTATATGCAGTGCTTCTTTAGATGTATCTTTAGCCTAAAGGTTCCAAATTGTTGAGGCAGCAAGCATAGGCTAACTGGTGCAGTGTTAGTCATTGAGAAGTTCCAGCTCAGGCACTCTGGCTTCCTCGGATGCTCTGGTGCAGACCCCTTACCTTCTATCGTTACCTGTCTAAATTCCTGGCACAAAGGATCTAGAGACAAAATGATGCTTCTTGGTGAGTGTTCTAAGTTCAGGGATAATTTATTAGACATGTACAGCAATGGACACTACTCCGGGAAAAAGTATTACAAGTAAATTAGGAATGCAATAAGTGTTTAAGGCCAATATGGGGCTTTGGGAACCGTCAGCAGTTGGTGATTGATATAACTGGAGAATCTTATATGATTGAGACAGTGTATAGAAGTGCTCCTAGTACGGTGTCTGACAGTCAAGATCAGGATGGATTATTAGGTTAAGAAGCACATGCACACATTTTTTAAGTGGTTATTTCCAGTGACCTGCTACTACCAGTACTTAGGTCCAATGTTTCAACATTTTAAACGTATATTTTGAAATGACAGATGAACCAGGATGTGATTTATTGTTAAAGTCATGCAAATCTAAGCCTCATCCTTCAGATATTAATACTTAGGTAAAAATTAAGAGGAAGCTATAATGATGAAAAATTGACCCCACATGGGAAAATCTGATGGAGAAAAAAATAATATTATATCCTACAAAAGAGAAGTTAGAAATGATTTAATGGTTAAAAGTATGATAGCTTTTCACATATAGGGATAACTTTCCATTCTTGTATGTATATCTTTAATTCATAAATTTTAAATGAAGGTAAGTTCAGTAAATCACTTCATTTTGGTGATGATTAATGCTTTTTATACACCAAAGTTTGTTCAACTATCTTTACTGCAGATTTAATTTAACTCAGAATTTTGCACACAGACACCATTAACACACATGGTTCAGAACTAAATAGTTATTAAGGCCGCTTTAATTTGAACAGAGATAGTAACAGTAGCTCTCATCTATGCAGCAAGGACCAGTTCACCGATACCAGGTAAGGGGATCTGTCTGTAGATACCATTTTACCTCGCCTTTGTTCTACAAGTGAGAAGCTAGTACCCAAAGGCAAATCATTTTCCCAAGGTCACTGAGCTAGAAAATAAGTTGAGATTAAATGATAATTCAGTCACACACCCTCATCTTTATAAAGGAAACACATTAAATCATGTGTGGGAATTATATATGATATGGCCACTCACAGAAAAAATTAACCTCTAAGGTATGTTTTAACTCTATACATGTAGGATTTTCTTTTCAATTATAGTAATGGAACACTCTTGAGAAAAATCATTGTTGCTATTACTGTACAGTCCTAAAAGCCATCCAATGTGTCCATTTTCTACCTGCATATGTTGATAATTATAAAATATATACATGGAAAAGCATATAGTATATAGAAATTAAATGCAAATAAGATATTTTTAGACTTTAGAAATTCTTTAAGCATGTTATATTAATCCTATTAAAAACAGCTTTTCTATATACAGTACATAATCTTTAAAAATCTATCCCAAGAAACAAAACTCTTTGGTTCAGCAAAGGACTCTAAATGTGTAAATATAATTTCTTAAGGATGCACTTTCTTATTCTGGGCTTTGCTTATCTGGCTTCAGTCTTCAGGAGACAGACAGCTGACTTTCTCTAAAAAATTAAAATATGTCTGTAGAGTGGATGGTTTGCTTTTCACAGAGAATATATCATATAAAAATACAATCAGAAGTGTAAATGATACAGGAATTGGGATATCATCTCTCCTCCTCCAGATTAAGAAGATACAGAGACATCTGCCATCATTTGGGAAGGAAGGAAAGAAGTGGAACACCTAAAAACACCAGGAAAGCCCTCAGGGACAGGTGTGCAGTGCACTGGAAGCTCTCCTCATTGATTCCAGTTTGGAAGATTGCCAAGAGGAGACAGGAAGAGGCCAGGTTCTAAGTATCCCCTTTTCTTCTAAAAATCTCATCACATCATCAGTAGCCTGGGTTATAATCATATACATGACTCAATTGCCTCCTTTGAGCAAAGCCATTACCTCTACAGTGATTACAAATCTCAACACTTGCCAATGGGCTTCTCATTAAAAATCATATATGGTCTTTCTATACTTTGGGCTTACTAATATCAGTAATCATAGGACTGAACAAAATATCTCAGAGTTTGAAAGAGTCAGCAACGTTAGCGATCAGGATTTGCTATGCTTTGTCTTTGGTGGGAAGGAAATGTCCTTAGTATTTCATCCACTGAGTTGTCTACTTTGGTAGTGGAAATATTTTTCTTTTTAACGTAAGATAAAACCTTCCCAAAGGCCCATCATTTAGCCATACTTTCCAGACTATTTTAAACAAAGTTTTTGATAAATCTCTGCAGTATCACAACTGGCCAAAGAAAAAGGAATGGTTTTGCTTTATTTTTTGTAAGTTATTAAAAATGATATACTTATCCAATTTGATTGACTGGCCTTCTTTAGTAAGTGGCACCACTCACTAATATCCAAATGTTTCCATTTTCCTTGATAACACCAAAAATATATTAGTATATTTGTAAGTTGAAAGAAAATAAAATTCATGGTCTTCTATTGACTACCTAAGATGTCTAGAAACCATGATTTGTGAATGTCGCATATATCCCTGGTGTCTGTTGAGCCCTAGAGAGATTCTTCTAAAGTTGCTCAATAGTCTTCCTTCTATCTGGATAACTTAGGTGCTCAAGGACAAAAGCCATATTTATTTTATTAGGATTCTAGGCATGAGAGTATGATTTGGAGGGAGCAATAAATTTCAGAGAAAACTATGTTATGCCAACAAAAATGAATCAGACCATGGAAATGGAAAGGGCAACCTTTGACCTCTGAGACAAGTACAGAATGGAATACAGGAATAATTCACAGCATCTAAAGGAGGTGTTTTCATTCAGAACCACATCCAGCCACTCTTCTTCCCTGTCTATCAGGGTTTTCTTTTCCATAATTGTCTTCCAGGTGACCTGACAATGCTTTGAAGAGAGGAATAATCAGCATTGTGTCACTGTTCCTCACAGTCCTCTTCCAGGGCACGGCAGCGTTTTTCTCCTGTCAGAAGTCTTTATCCCAGCCTGACATTTCATCTGGAGGCACCCCCTTTTCAGGAGGATACTTGTCAAAGTAGCTGTGATCTATGGGGCCGCTGAGCTAATGGAGACAGGAGAGAACAAAGGTGAGGACAGGGGTGACAGAGCATGGCAGTACATCCAGGTGAAGCTTGGATGTACCCAAGTGCTGACCTCACACTGGAGCCTACTACATATATTACATGTTATTACATATTACATACTACATGTTACACATTAAATATTACAAATTACATATTACACATTACATAGAAAAGATGACCAGTTATCTGCATCGTGTCCCACACAGTCTCCGCATAGTAAGATAATCTCATTAAAAGCAAGTGATTTTATCGCTGATTACATTCATCAGAAGCGGTGCAGCAGGAGGAATTATATTCTAAAGAAAAGGTGAAATAAATACTCTCTACCTTCCTGTATCAAGTTAAGGAATGTTTTCAAGACAAATATCTTTTAAATATTAAAATTTATCAGAGTTCCTCTTGCATTTAAATTTCTTGCCAGATTTGAGCAGTTACGGTATGGTATCCCTGTAAAGTATGCAAAATAGTGGACAAATGGACAATCCTAAATCTTGGCGGCATTGAAATGTCACTAGGGAAGTTAAATGACAGTACTACACTATTTTGTGGCCATAGTTTGAAATTCTTTACTTAAAACAAATTACAGACCACCTAATTAAACAATCAGATTTTTCAAAAGCATTGATGACACTGTTGTGATTTACTGTGGGTTACTGGGCTTTGTGGGCACCTCCTGGGATTGTCACCACTGTGGCTAGTGGTGTCATATTGGACAACATAGGTTGAGAGAAAGTGGAACACCACACGACTCAGGAGAAGTGTGTCAAGAACTAATAGGTCAGCGTTCTATCAAATTTATGTGTGCTGTCTGAAGGAATCATGGCAGTCCTGTGCCTTCCATTGCACATTCGTACTTCAAAGGTTTTCACCAAAGTTAAACAGTTATGGAGAATTAAATTTCTAGTCTTACATAGTCACAAAAAAATAAAATGTGACCTTCCCTAATTTCTTGGAATACATTAACTATAATTTAAATAGCATACAAGAAGATTTGAAATCTATTGATCATTTAAAGCATGCATGCACACACACACACACACACACCAGTGCACAGCTTCTCATACACAAACACACTACAGTGCACAGCTTCTCATGCACACACATATACACACACACACACTACAGTGCACAGCTTCTCATACACACACACACACACACACACACACTACAGTACACAGTTTCTCATGCACACACACCACAGTGCACAGATTCTCATACACACATAAACGCACATACACTACAGTGTATAGCTTCTCATGCACACACACGCACACCACAGTGCACAGCTTCTCATGCACACACAAACACACACACACACTACAGTGCACAGCTTCTCATGCACACACACACACACTAGAGTGCACAGCTTCTCATGCACACACATACACATACTACAATGCACAGCTTCTCATGCACACACACACACTAACTACAGTGCACAGCTTCTCATAAACACACACACTAGAGTGCACAGCTTCTCATGCAAAAACTGGGTCTTCATGCTCATGTGTTAAGCACTTTTCCCGCTGAGCCTGCTCTCCAGACCCAGCCATATATTTAAGTTTCTAGATCACAATTAGCAGGACAAACTCACCTAAAAGGGAGTATTTTTAAAAAATCTAAAATCTCTTACATGCATGTTCTCTCTCCTTTCCTCCCTCCCACTTCTCAACCCCTTCAAAATTTGTTTTAAAAAGCTAGTTCCTAGAAACTAATTGAGGGAGTGTTCTAGAAAATACCATACCTCTCTTCGTAAAGGTGACGGAAGGCTCCGTGCTTTCAGCCCCTCCCAATTAAAACCATTTAACCACCTAAAATGAAAAAATATGGAGGTTGTTACTCACATAATCCATGATCACCATGTTAGCGTATATCTGTTGATCCATTATGTCACTCCCTACCTCTAAAAGTGCTGCTGGGAGAGCTGAAGTTACCAAGGAAGGATGCCTTGACCCACTTCATATTCAACCCATGACTACTGGGCACTCACATTGCCCAGCAGTATTTTCCTGTCGCACTTAGGCTCAAAACTTATAGTGTAGCACCTCCTCAGACTTTCAGAACTTTACGCCCATCTGTATAAGATTAATTTATTTTATGTGTACAAGTATTCTTGTTGCCTGTACGCATGCAGACTCATGCAGACTTGTGCAGACATGCACCCTCTCTTGAGCATATCCAGCTCAGAAAAGGGCATCAACTTCCCTTGATCCAAAGTTATAGATGGTTGTGAGCTACCGTGTGGGTGCTGGGCACTGAATCCAGGTCCTTAGCAAGAGCAACAAGTGCTCTTTACCACAGAGCTATCTAGTCCCGGTGTTTCTGAACCTTCCTAGTGCTACGACCCTTTCACACAGTCCCTCATGTTGTAGTGATTCCCAACCGTAAAATTATTTTGCTATCTCTTAACTGTAATTTTGCTACTGTTATGAATCATAATGTAAATATCTGTGTTTTCTGATGGTCTTAGGCAACTGTGAAAAAGTTGATCAACCCCAAGTGGATTGTGAGCCATAGATTGAGAGTCACTGCTTTAGACCCTACCCTTGATTCTTAACACACTGAGAGGTAATGAAGCAAAATAAAACCACAACAGAACAAAATTCCAAAGGCCCATAAGAAAATGATTCATGATCCATCTTCAGCCCATTTGCACCGCATCCCTGCATTGCCTTTTCTCCTGAACCGAATGGGCTTCCTTATCTTCTCCCTAATGCCAGAGTCTCTGCTACATGCTTGACGACATCATCTCTGGTTATTGCTGTGGTTCTTCTGTCCTGTACTGTCATTGCTGTCCCTGCTTAGTTATCACACAGAAATGACTTCATTCTTACAACAACAAAGCACATCCTTTGTCCTAATTTCCTCTCCAATTCAGTCTGCTTCTCTCCTTCACTTTGGAGGAACAATGGCCCCAGGAGTGTTTTTAACCAGTCCATCCAACCACTTTCTCCTGAGTACTCTTCAGTCAATTCCGGTTTCCTCCAGCTCCTCTAGCGCCTACATAGTCCCAACAGCTAAGCGTGCTACAGTGAGTGACGTGTGGCAATACTGAGTGGAGCTGACAGCTGGAATTTCTTTTATTCACATCTATATCATTAATGTAAGCGGGTGAGTCTGGTCATACATGTCATAGTAGACACTGAGAGACCTCCCTTCTCCTGCAGACCTGTCTCTTGGAATCTAACAAAGAACATGGAGCCAGGCAACTCCCCACCTATTGATTATTAGTTATTAGGCTATTGATGTCAATTTAGCCAGGCAGCAAACATGTATGGAAAGACAACTTGTCCCAAGTATGAAAAAATATATATTTTTATTTTGGTAAGGTGGTAGACAAAATAAGTAAATATCACAAATGTTTGACTTAAATTTAGACACTAGTAAGTGCCAGGAAGATGGAAGAAAGCAGAGTGGTAGGTGGTATTGGGATGGGGCGAGCTTGGAAGGATTGCTCCCCACTGGGATGGTATTTAAAGGATGAAGAGAAGAGAGAAGCCATACAGAATTCTGCATCAAGGACCTCCCAGATGGAAGAGGCAGGAGTTAGCTGAGATACGAAATGTAAAGGAAGTAGGAGGAGACAGATACCCAGGGGTTGCAAAGATCATTAGGATGAGAGGTGGTAAGTAACTTCAAGGAAACAGTACATGGAACATTTTTCCTTACGAAGCTCATGGTGATTGTGACAGCATAGAGAAGAGCTTCCTGAGCTGAAAGCAGACATCTAGCATGGTAGAGGGAGGGAGGGGAGCAAGAACCCCATTAGCTGAGGCAGTAGTGTTAATACTAGTGATTACTGTTGTTCTAGTGAAGAAAATAGCCTTGCATTTTTTAGAGGATTCGCTGCAGTTTGACTAACAGCAACATTTGCTTGGGGTGAGCGACCATTCACTTAATCTCAGTGTTCTGTGACAGGCTGCATCACATGTGATGCAGGAGACAGGCTGTGGTTGTATGCAGTGCAAGGGCAGCACACACTGGTATGTGAACAATATTCAGCAGAGTTGCGCTGACATGGACAGAACAGAAATTCCTTTCAGGAGATTTATAGACACTGTTCTCAGTGTTATGTTAAGGGGTTTGGTTTATCCTCCTGTCAGGAGTCATAATTACATCGACTCAGCTTCACCAGCTTTTCTTTGTCTTTGGGAGAAAAGACTGATGCCCTGTTTCCAGGTTAGCTAATAAACCTTGAGTAAAGATGATGCACACATTGGCTTATTTATAAAGGAGATGTTATACCTAAGCAGACTTTTATTTTAATACAAAGCTAGAATGAAAAGTTTCCTTTTAAAAATGAATTTTGTTTTACAGAGGAGTAGGAAAATCTAATACAAACATTAAAAAGAGTTTGAGAAAGATATTACTTTATTATTTTAAAGTAGGGTGCGTGTGTGTGGAAGGGTGTGGAGGTGTGTGCACACATAATAAAGAGGCCAGAAAAGGCCGTCCGATGCCTTGGAGCAGGACTTAGAGGTGGTTATGTGCTGCTGACATAGGTGTTGGGAACTGAACTCATGTCCTCTGCAAGAGTGGTTCGTGTTCTCAACCACTCCAGCCCCTAAAAGAATGTTGTTTTTAAATTTTAAGAATATGCTTGGTAGTAAGAAAGTTATAGACTTGGAGATTTGTATAAAGTTTAAAAAGCTTTTTATCTAGAACAGTGTTTCTCAACCTTCCTAATGCTGTGACCCTTTAACACAGTTCCTCATGTCGTGGTGACCCCCCCACCATAAAATTATTTTCGTTGCTACTTCATAACTGTAATTTTGCACTGTTATGAATCATCAGATAAATATCTGACATTCAGGATATCTGATTTGCAATCCTTATGGGGGTCATGACCCATGGTGGAGAACTGCTGATCTAGACTGATACACATAGACACACACACACACACACACACACACACACACACACACACACACACACCCAAGCTCATCCACTAGCTTGGTAGCTTGGAAAAAAGCTCCAGGAAAAGAGAAAATTAGGATGAAATTCTGTTTTCCAGTTCAGAGAACACCATGCAATCTATTGTATCTTGCCAACTGTCCCCTGCACTCTGTCCCTGAAGCTGTGTGTGGCAGAAGGAAGCCTCCTTATTACAGAGAATGGGCCAATCAACGTCGCTGGAAGGAAAAGCAATATCATCAGTTTGCTTGTGTATCCCACCACAGTCTGCCTGGCACGTTTGGATGAGCTTCAGGTAAAGGAGAGGAGGAGGGTAAGGCTGGAGCTTCTCGGCATTTATGGTCACTTCTGTTTTCCAACCACCCCAAAGCAAAGCTTGACAACTCCTTAATGAGAACATGGGGGAAAACAGAATAAGAATCACTGTAATTGGTGGGACACTTGTCATTATGAATGGTGTGCTTATGTGTCATTTCATAATGAGAATAGAAACTGGTAACAAGTTTGGGGTGCAAAGAGAAGACAGATTGAATTTTAAGACAAATAATGATCTTATATCTAGAACAGTGTTTCTCAGCCTTTAGTTGAAGGCATCCCAAAGAATGACAAAGAATAAAGTATTACAAGCACTTTAATGTCTATGAAGTTCCAAATAAGTCTGTCTTGTGTCTCCTTCCCTGATGTCTCTCTCTCTCCCTCTTTTTCTTTTTAATTCACCTTGTGGGGAAGCTTGGTTTTACAATGGTGAACACGTGGCTTTGTTGCAAGGGAGATCATGAATTCATACAGCAAGAGTGGCATCTTAGGATTTATTTATTTAGTTTATTCATTTCGCAGCTGCAGTTAAAGAGAACAAATAGCCACATGCCTCCCACTGTGTCCAGGCTGTTGATGGTCCTCTAATTCCTCAGTAAAAAATACCAGCAGAGTGTGGGAGTAGGGGGAGGGGAAGGGCTTTGGGGGCAATGCAAGAGTTTAGCATACACAGAACTCCAGATTTTATCCTGATCCCCAGCACATGTGCACAGAAACATCAGCCCCCAATCCAAGAGGAATAAAACCTTAGAGGTGTTCTCATTTTTGAAAGTGAACATGTCAGCATATTCAAAGGCTTACAATAATAAAAATTCTCACATTTGTATGTGGATCGTCAAGGTAGAGCCACAAGTGATATTTTGTCTGTAGATTATAAGCAAGATGGAAACATCCTGAAAATTCTAGGACTTCTCAAAGATTGATTTAAAACCCATAAATCTTAAAGGTTCAAAATGCCACATTTGAATATTTAGTCAAATTAGAGGGGATGTCAAGGAAGTTATCAGGGGTCTAAAAGCTGTTAAAGGGGAATGCTGGATCACCATGAGATGACTCCAAATTGTGGGTCTGTGCAAATCAATGGACTCCAACAGAAAAGTAAACTGAGGTTCAGAGCTTAGAAACTCATTCAAGGGAAGGTGTATTTTAAACAAATATGTAGTATTAGTTAAAACTGAAATAGAATAGGAGTGACTTACGATATATCACACACTGACAAAAACTGACATGATTTGAAGATACATTAAATAAAAAGGGTTTAACAACTTAAAACTACCAAACACCATAAGTAATACCACAGTCAACTGCTCTCCTGGTCTTGGGGGCTGTGGTTCACAGCCACAGCCTGGCATTTTTAGTCATCACTCGCTGCAGGAAAGGTTTTAAGGAGTCAGGATATGGCTTCTATGGGGGAGCTGTTTAGACATGAACAGGCTTTAAGGACTCTGGCGCTGGAGTCCTGCCTCGTGGTGCGCAGCCTGTAAAACCGAGGACTAGAGTTGCAGGACTTCAATTATTTTAAATGACCTGAGTCATTTCTCTGCCCGGGGATGTGACCTCCTGAACTGCTCAGAAAGCCATTAACGCTATCTCAAGCAGGATCCAGAAGCCTCCAACCTTGTACGATGGCTAGCTAGCAGGAGCTTTGGCAACCCATTGCCCTTCCTGTAAGATCGAAACCAAGAGAGCTTGTCAGTCTGGACAAGAAAACATCCCTCAGGAAAGCTGTCTGTTCATGGGACTTAAGAAATTATCATAAGCATACCTACACAGGCAGAAGCAACGATCCTGCTGGCCACTCTCTGCTTTCACCGTGACATGAGATGCCCTGCTCTGCGGTGGTCCCTTTGGCCACTGCACACTCTTATCCCTTGATGTCCCACTTCACTCGGTAATAATTGTCCCCTATCATTTATACTACACTTTGTCTCTTGTGAATTCTTTTAGTGGAGTTGTAAGGATTGAGGGTAAGGCCAGAACAAAATCCTGTCATAGTTCCTACTAAATACATCCCTTTCCAGCACCGTTAAGTACAAGCTCACTAGTCAGTGACGTTTAACAGTGGCTTAAGCTGCATCATTCTCTTCTACAACTCTTCAAGAATTATATATACCCTGCTCTATTTACAAATTCCAAGCCAAAAATATCATTTAATTCCCTTACAGAAACCAAGATAATTAATAACAACAACAACAGTGGATGAAAAACTATTTCTGTGACTTAATGATGTGACTTTGTAGCTTTTAAAATAACTTTTTTCATTCTTGACATGCATTTCCAGTACTAAGGAAAGCATATTAAGACCTATTTAGGCAACTATAACTAGCAAACTATACAAAGAAAAACTTCACCCTTGAAACACCCAAAAGTTGAAAGCCTGTAACTGAGCACGGCGGTCTCCTGAGAGGCCCTTTCATGGTCATCTCATACATATAGTGGTGGCCTGTATGTCAGTTTGATACCAGATAAGGTCAGCTGGAAAGAGGGAACCTCAACTGAGAAAATGTTCCACACCAGATTAACCTATGGGCAAGCCAGAAGGCAGCAGTCTTCCAAAGCCTCTGCATCAGCACCTGCCTCCAGATTGCTACGTAGAGTTCCCTGGATTGTAGACTACAATTTATAAGATGAAATAAGTCCTTTCCTCCCTAGGCTTCTTTTGGCCATGGTGTTTATCACAGCAAAAGAACCCTATCTAAGACACCTGGTTACTCTATGTATTTCTGTGCTTATCTCAGCAACGAAGAAAATCAGTACCTGTGTTTCTTAATGTCATTGATTCCATTCTTCAGATTCCCCAGCCTTTCTGTTGGGTTTTGCCTAAAATAATTAACAGAAGAAGTTTATAATAATAATAATAATACATGAGCAGTTTTAGATAAAAGAATACTGTTTGTGTTTGAATTCATTCACTCAATAACTTTCATCAGATCCTACTGCAGGCCAGCCACTTGACCACAAGGAGAAAACATGGCCCTTCCATGGGGGAGCCACAGCTGATGACATCTATCAGTTCTTTACGTGAGCCCTGGATAGACTTTCAATAATTACCAGCTTGCAAACTTAGTTGCAACGCTGCTAAGAAAACTGGGATAGAGTTTCATTTACATCTAAGCTGCAATCTTAGAAGTGTATAGGTATTCCCATTTGCAATTCCCAAACTAGGTTTGATGTTCTACATTTGCTAACTTTAAACCCTTTAAAAACATCTCCAAAGGTGGGGCAGGGGTGCAGTAGTGCATTGGAGTTTAAGCAAAACAAAACAAAGCTCTGGAAGTCTCCAATATTTCCCTGAAAAATGATACAAGCCGAAGGCTGAATAATTTAAAAGAAGACTGGAAGTACAATTTCTTAAAGATGATTAAGGGGCTAGAGAGATAGCTCAGTGGGTGAGAACACTGACTGTTCTTCCAGAGGACTCAAATTCAAGTTCCAGCACCCACATGACAGCTCGCAACAGTCTATAATCCCAATTCTAGATATGGTGACAATTCCTAGCCTCCAAAGGCACAAGCATGCACCTGTGCACAAACACACATGCAACACTTGTTCAAAACTATTTTTTAACTTAAAAACTTTCTTCAGTTACAACAGCAACATAAGATGTTCAAGTAATGAACTCGCAAACCTAATTGTGAAACATCTACACACTGCACGGAGTGAGCAGAAACCTTCACACTTCCTCCTCCAGGAGGTGTCACCCATGGTCATCCTCACCTGCAAAGCCTCCGGATCAAATCCTCAGGTCGCCTTGTTATCTTTCTGGGAAAATCCATCTTCTCGATTCCTTTGAGAATCAAATTGTAGGTCATCATTTGGTCTATGCCAGAGAAAGGAGGGCTGGAGAAGACACAAAATAAGGCATATTTCAGCAAGAGTCTGGGAGGCTTCAGCAACAGACTCCTCTTTTCCTACTTCTCTTTCTGCTCCATTCTGTTCCACAGTCCCCTCCTCCCTCCTTAGTTACTTTACAACAAATTGGGGTATATAATGGAAAGCCTTCAACCAACTTCCCATCACTTGAACAATACTCATAAATAATTCCTAAAAAAGAAGGTTGAAGAAGAGAGATAGGGAGAGTGGGTGTGATTTCCTTGTGTGTGTGTGTGTGTGTGTGTGTGTGTGTGTGTGTGTGTATAAGAAGGCGAGTATGAAAAACTTCCTCTCTAAGCTGACAAAGAAGTCTGAGTGGACAGAGGGAACAGATGAGACAGAGTTGTTTGTGGTCATGGAGTTCTGAGACAGGAAGTATGAAGGAATGTGTCAGGAGTGGGCAGGAGTGGGCAGTAGGTGGTGGAATGAGTAATCTTCAAGGAGTATGAGAGATTACGACCGTATCCGAAGTTTCCCGTGGGCTACAGTAAGGATCTGGGCACGGATCTGAGTCAGTGGTAGAACTGACAGCAACTCTAGTCATCTGTTTTTAATACAAGAAATAAAGTCCAGTATGGGGTGAAGCTGGCAGGCTGGGTGGTGGGAAGTTGTGCTGAAGATACTGAAACAGACATGGCTCTACCTAGTCCATGGATTATACCAATAATGACTCTTTACCAGATTTATATGTTGAAACCATACATGGGATTTTATAAAGCTAATTAGGTTGAGAGTGAGGCCATCAATGAATAGGATTAGTGATCTTCTGAGACAGGATGCTGGCTGGCCATCTTTTCCCTAGTGAGGATCCCATAAGAAGTCTACAATTAAAAGAGAGTCCTCACTAGAACCCAACTCTGTGCTGAAGCTTCCCGCTTCCAAAACTGAGAAGAAGGAAAAAAAAGCCACCAGCTTATAGAGTTTTGTGATACAGCCTGGGGTAAGACTAATGATAAAGTTAACAGCATTTGCCAACATAGTGAATTCGGTGGAGAAGAGTGAGAAGAAATTCAAGAATGATCCTTAGCCACAGTGCCCACAGAATGTAACTATTGTCTCTAAGAGAGACAAACTAGGGAAGAAGCAAGTGCTGTAACTTGGGTCTAGGGTATCCCCCAGAGACCAGATCCCCAAGCTGTATCATAATGGAGAAGTAAAGGGAACTTTTGGGAATGAGACCGAAAAAAAGGCTACTGGAGAAATGACCTTGACTGGAATATTGGGATACTCATCTCTTCCTCTTTGTGTTCTAGCCACTGAATAGTGACAGACCTCCTTTGTTACATGTTCTGTCATACTGTGTCATGTTCCCAAATCTACAGGGACAGTGAGCCATAGATTGAAACTAGGAACCAGAATAAATCTTTTCTTATTCATAAGAGACCTTGGGTATTTTGTCACAGCAATGGAAAGCCAACTGACTCAGCGGTGGTGTAGCTAGTCCCAGGGGGAAAAGATCATAGTTATGTTCCAGAACCACATGGAACTGACAGGCAGGACATTGGGTTTATGGGCCTAGCATTGAGGAAAAACACTAAGGAAGTATGTCTTGGTCCATCTCATAAGATTTATGGCTGTAGGACTTGAGGATATGACTCAGTGAGTGTTAGGTGGAAGAGAGGCCATGGACTGACCAGTCCAATGTGAAACTATCAGGAAAAATGAGAAAAGTCAGAAATGAATACAGAGAAGGAGCTATGAGTACATGATGAGGGAGAAGTGGGTCCTGTAAAGCACCGAGGAGAATACTTCAAAGACTATCCTGCTGGGTAAAGTGTGGTTGAGATGTACCCACCAAGCTGGGTAACATTTTAACTCATATATCTACCGTTTTGATTTCTAAAACATTTTTGTGTTCAGTCTAGTACAGCATTTCATTTAAAATTTGAAAATTAAATATGATCTAACCACTCTGTTGTCTAGCAACTATGCCTGTGCTATTTGGAAACCAACTGTCCTCACCTATGGCACAATAAAATAAAATAACAAAGCCTTAAAGCAAAGGTAATACATTGAGTTTCCAGTAACCTATGCTTCACTGGTGAAGATGAAGCGGGAGGCAAAGCCATTGGTTTGGCATCTTCAATATACACAGATGCATGCATGCATGAGCATATTTACAGCTGTGTTGTTATTTTCATGGTGTTCTTTCCCTGGTATCCTGAAACACTAGATCAGGACATTGAAAATGGACTTTTCTTCTGCCCTGAAAATGTCTGGCAAAATAACTTCTTTATGACGGTTTGAGGCCCCCTTGCCAATTCCAAGCTGCTGTGCCTTCTCTCCCTCTGTCATTTCCCCAATTCATTTTGCTATTCTGCATGACACATTTCCCAGGGTGACAAAGACTTCCCAGAAGCTCCAAGAACCACCATGCTAGTACCTTTCCCCTAGAAATCTCTAAGATGAGGAAAAAGAAATATTGGAAATAATCTGGGGTTTTCCACACCTTAGAAAATTTGTCCTTCTCAGTGACTACCTGAAAAATCCTATTCTTCAATCTAAATCTTAAATAATGACTATTTGAATATGGTTATAGATAATGAATAGTGATTCAGATAAAACACAGATTTTCACATCTGTTTCCTCAGTGTGTGTGGACAAAGATGTGATCCACGAGGTTTTTTAACATTTTTTTATTTAATATTGAGGCTTAAGACAATTAAGAAGAACACAGCTCAGTGGGAGACTGTGTCTTTAGAATGTGTAAAGCCCAAATAGGTTTAGGTGCTTACTGTTGCAAAAAGAAGAAAGCTCGAGACGATTCTATGAAATCGTTTTTTCACGTGATGTTGATGCTACCTCCCCGCTAATGGATCCATCTCAGCACTGACTACACAACTCTTAGTGCAGATGTCTCTAGAACTAATGTTGAGCACAGTTGGCTATAAAGTGTCATAAATCATGCGTGTGTCATGAAAAGTACGTCACACACAGAGCCAGGAGACCTGGAATCGAGTTACTGATCTCAGGCAGATAGCTTTGTGACCTACTTGTCTAACTTGTAAAATTTAAATCATAAAATAATCAAAAACATTTGAATCATAAAATAATAATAAAAATTCCTACCTTATCTTCCTCACATGTGTTTGAAAACTAAACTAGGTTATGAGTATACGTGCTTGGTAAGCAGTGAAACATTTTACGAGTGTGGACTATCTTGTGTGTACACGTGTGTGTGTGTGTCTGTGTCTGTGTGTGTCTGTGTCTGTGTGCTTGTGAATGAACATGACACTGTACTGTGTTAAATATTTAGGACTGTAGATTCATTAGTCTCAGGCACTCTTAACTGATAAAACCCATGCTGTGTCTTGGTTCTGTTCATTAGCACCTTGTAAAAGAGTTGTCAGGGGATTTGAATTTTAAACTCAGCATTGTAGCTTTCTCTTAGCATTTGTGGTTGATGACATCTGGGGAAGGTGGCAGATTCTAGCTAAATTTAGTTTGATTGATCAATGACTTTTACTGAACTAGGAAAACAGCTTTTATCATTTGTCTAAAAAGAGAAATTCTAACAAATCCAACGTTTTCATTGTTTCTATTTCTGGATCATAAAACTTTCAGATACCGAATGTGTTTCTGTAACAAAGAAACCTGCCACTTTAGGTAAACTGTAGGAATTCTATACTCCTTTGCTGTGGCTTTCTGAATCCTTTATATTTTAAATATCCTTTTCAAGCCCTGTGTTTGAAGCAGTATGAAGAGGAGAAACAACATTCTTAAAAATATTTTTAGGTAGGTACACTTTAAATTTTGTATTTTTATCATTATTATTTCGCTCGCTCAGAAGATGAGCTGAGTGAGACTGGACTGAACTGCAAGCTCACACTCTTGAACTGCAGGCTCACACTCTTGAACTGCAGGCTCACACTCTTGAACTGCAGGCTCACACTTACTTGCCCGTTAGGAGCTCATAGACCAGAATTCCCAGAGACCAGAAATCCACACTGAAGTCATGTCCTTTGTTAAGAATGACCTCAGGGGCCACATACTCGGGAGTTCCACAGAATGTCCATGTTTTTTGCCCAGAGCCGATCTTCTTAGCAAATCCAAAGTCAACCTAAGAGAGGACATCACAGAAAACTGAAGATGTTATAAAACTTATGCTGCTTTTAAGTGTCTGCTAATTTGTATGAGCTTTTATACAAGGCCAAACTTTCCTTCAAAACACAACATACACACACACACACACACACAAACACACACTCATATACACATGCACACACTTGTGCACACATACCACACACACAAACATACATACCATACATACAAGCACACACACAAGCATGCACACACAGATACACGCATATGTATACACACACATATACCATCTCAGATATTCCTTTGTAGATCAAGTTGTTGCGAAAGATTCCATCATATATACCACATTACTCTCAAAGACAATTCAAAATTCATTCTTATGCTCCCGGCAAACAGGACTAAAGCATATTTTAATTCAGAGGCTTATCTGATGGATTGAAGAGAGGGGGGAACTAATAGAAACAGGTACCTGTAAAACTCCTCTAGGGATTAAAATACTAGCGAAGTTGAGAGTTTGGGAAGGGGTCTATTGCTAAGAAAAGAGGCTAAAACCTCTGCCTAAAGATGCACTCACTGTTCACAGCATGTACCAACTCTTTCTGCACCTCAAAGCATGCCATCTTTGCCTAGTTTGCTTTGATCTCCAAACACTTGTGATCCCCACTAGAGAGGAGGGTAGTAGATTATTAGATTACATATTCTGAAAAAGTAGTCAGCACCCACTCCAGCCTAGATTTTGCTCCATGATTATCATATGGAGCTGACCATGAGAAGCTCAGAGTACTGGGCCAACTTATGCACACAGGGTCCATACAACATCCTGTGATTCACAGTGGAGAAGAAAGTATAACCTCATAGTGAGAAGAAAAGGCTAACATCCCAGAACATTAGGGAGATAGGGCTGGGAGAATGTGGGTACCACAGGGAGGTGACACTTGAGGCTGTCCCTGACTGGGGGTGAGGAACTCTCTCACAGTAAGGAGTCAGGAGTCCCCATCTCTACCCTTTAGAACATGTCTCTCTCACTTTTTCAAGCTTTTACCCAATAAACTCTGTAGAACAGCCGAGAGATGAGGCCAGGGCTTCAGAAGCCTCTTGCTGAATGAGGAAGTGTGTATAACTGAAATCCAGTCCTGTGGAACAATAGCTGGCTTCTTCACACAGGGAAGTGAGCATTTAGCCAGTCATTTCTAATGTGCACTGATTTCATTTTAACCTTCTTTACCTCCCTCAGGTAATAGGCATAAAGATTGTTTCTGGGCTCACCATACCCATTTCAAGAGCTTCATTGCACATGGATAATTTCAATAACATATCAATAATCCATGCTTAAAAATGGAGAAAGTTAGTATCAGAATAAGTTCGCACTTTGACAAGCAAGAGACACAAACCAAAGCATCTACCTCATTTGCTTGTTCAAATATTCGTGTTTAAAGAATTTGTGTTCTGTTAAAGAAGTTTCTTAGAAACTCTCCCTTTTCCTGAGACTCCTTAGTACTTACCACGTAAGTAGCAAAGATTCTGCTAGTGAAGAAAAAGAATGCAAATAACATGATTCAGAAATGAGCTTTTTCTCTTTGCCTTTATCTACGCAGCGTGACTCACAAAGATTAAATCTGAAAGATGACTGGGAATATTATAAAATTAAACTCTGTAACCAGCTGAGATGAGAACAGCTACATATTCCTCAGAGAAGGAAACAATAATGAAAGTCCTAACTAATTTTATAAAGGCTGAAATTTAAGAGGTGAGAAAGCAGTGATCATAGCTGCAATTGTATATGAGCATATACAGAAACGTTGCATTTGGTTGGGTTATAACAGCTTCTGGACTGTTTTTTTAATTACATTTACTTTCCCTTTTAAGAATTACTAGAAGTTCATTGGCTATTTAGGAGAGCTAGTCTAATTTTTGAAATAAAATACTTTAATTTGAATTGCCAGTTCAGTGTTGCAATATTTGCATATTGGCTCAACAAACTGGTAATAACTATATTAACACTCTACAAGTTATAAAATTGTATCCATTTCTTCATCTACTTGCTTCATAGATTCATACCAACTTTGATATAATACATTTGGCCAGAATAAATCAGCATTCAGAGATAACCAAAGCTGTGTAGAAGACTTCAGATTTTCTAAGTCAAGTTCTGTGCATTTTCTATAAGAAACAAGCTGCCCCACCCCACCTCAGTACCATGGCTGCACTAAGGAGCCTTTCCCCTCTCCTCTAGGCCACCAAAAGGACTTTCCACTTTCCTTTATTCAGAAACACTCAGTGAACGTCATTCTCTACCAGGACACACACAAAGCTTTAGCTCTTAAGTTTGTATCAAAAAGAAAAGAACAATAATGATCATGGAAATGTTTCATAGTGATGATACATTGTCAGGTGACAAGACGTTCCGTGGAGAAGCAAATAGAAGATTTAGGTGCTGAGAATAAGATGATACAAACAGGAGGGCCAGGAAAACACACTTCACTGAGATACACTTGAGCAGATCTGAACAGATATCTAAATAAGAGAGGACTACCGTAAATATCTGAGAAAGAAGGTCCTTCCAGGAGGAAGAGACAGCACAAAGCCTGAGAGGCAAATGCTGGTGGTCAGTTCAAATCCGGCCGAGGTCAGTGTGCCTCTACTGTGGTCCATGGAGGCATGGGAAGCAGAAGTAGAAAGGGCATGCAGGTCTGCATGGGTTTGAAAAGCATAAAAGACCGTTATGTCCTCAGAGTTCCTGGAAAGAAAGAAGTCGAGACCCTCCCCCTTTGAGTTCGAATTCTTCAAGGGAAAAAAACTAGCCTTTCAGGGATCTCTAGAAAAGCTATGCACAGTTTTTTTTTTAACTGTCTGAATTAAATTTCCACTCCTAAGGATGGATGACAGTGAGCTGAGAGGTTTTAAACATATTTATAATGACTGAAATAAACTAGAAAGATTTGAGATACTTCCACACCTGGAGCTGAGGTTGTATCGTTTAGAGAAAAGAAAAATCACCATGTGACTTCTTAGAACTGGTATCCATTAACAATGACCTTTCTTCGACCATAAGCTTCTCTTTGGGTTAGTAACATTTCTGAGATATTGGTTCAGTCACATAAAAAACGGACACAAAGTGACTCGTATAGTAAAGCCGGATGACTCATGGAGACATAACATTCCATAAAAGTATTTATGTGGCATGTTTAGGGCACCATCTTTACCTCGGGCTAGACGAGGTAAAATGGAATCTCTGTCTTTCTGCCAACTCCCGCAATTGATTTAACATTCTTCTCTAATGGACAGCAATGATGCTTTCCCCTAAGAGATGGGGGAGAGGCTGAGGTAGTAGAGGAGCCTTTTGTGAAACATCCTCTTTTCCATGGGACCAAGAGATTCACAGAAACAGAGTGCTGATTTGGGCAAGACAAGGGGAAGGACTTTATTCACAAGGCTGAACTAGGAAACATCCTTTGAGACTCATCTCCCAGCATTATCTCCTTGAAGGTTTGTTTCCCTAAATCATAGGCCTATTTCTCTTTCCTTCCACATTCTTTACTACTGATTATACCTCATAATCACATGCCTTTGGGTAGCTGGTTCTAACTGGATCACTAAACCCAGCTCATGAAGAAGGGTCCTCATACATCCATTTTGTAGTTGTCTGTATTTGGAATGGGGCAGGTTTTCAGCTTATGCTTATTGTAGGAAAGAAAAGATTGCTCATTAAAGTCAACCTAAGTAAGTTATATTGTGGTAAGAAAGGCTACCACACACACATGCATGATGTACGACTCCATCTAACACTCAAAGATAAGCCTCTTGAGACAGGCAGAAGACATTTGAACGGAGAAGCAGCTGTGTGTGCTCTGCGTATTGACGGGACAAGCTCAGTCCCCGCTAGCCAATAAGCTGGTCATGCTGTGTCAGTAGACAATGGTTGGAGCCAATGATCATTTTCATATTTTACATGAGGAAATTCTTGATGCATAAAAAGTGTGACACAAATGCAAGAGAATCAAAGGCCACAGTGCTCCACCAGTTAGGTGACTAGAAGAGAGCAGAGATAAAAGTCCTGCCCTGTATTATGCTCTTACCCATTGCCAAGAGATCAACCACACGTATACACACATGTATCAATTTCTCCCATTCACTTCTAACTTTACCATGCATTTGATATCACAAATGCAATAATGCTTCTAGTTTTTAATCTTCAGATCAACATTATCATACCTATTTTGGGCAACATGATTTTTTTTTTCATTTAAGCCTATAGTGGTGCATTTGTACAATGAAGTCTACTTGTAACACCATCTAAATAACAAGCTCTTACTCTCTGTGGGGATAAAACTACCGCCACTCCAACTTGGACTTCCTCTGCTATAATCAGCTCATATAACTGAGGACACAGCGTCTCCTACCTTGGTTTCCATGTGCGGCCTCATCAATACCCTGGCTCTTCTGGGTGCTTGGGTATCCTGACATAAATTTCTAGCATCAGCTTCCCAAGTATCATGAAAAGCTCTGGTGGCAATTTCATTAGAAGGATATCAGACTGTAGATCAGCTGACAGAGTACCTCAAGGAGGAGAAGTCTTCCTGGTTTTAAACATGATGCATCTGTCTGTCTGAGTTGGGATAAATAAGGACTGGATACTACCAAAATAGATTCAGGAAGACATTAAGGTTTCAACTATACATTAATTAATTCTTACTCACATAGTGGATTTCCCAGGAGGTAAGTGAATCATCTTGAAGCCCTGATTCAGGGACACAGACCAGATTTTACAGCTCTGCCAACTCTAGTTGTCTGTCCTTGTTGACAATCCAGAAAGAGTACAAAGACCCACTTCACAAGACATTTGTAAGCCAGATCTGCTGGTGGTGTGCACAGCATTGCTGCGATTTCACAAGCTATAACTCTGTCACTTGGTCACAATGACCCAGAGAGAGGCTGAGGAATTGGGTAGCTCTGCCCAGAGGAGGGCGTGTGCCATCCCATCTGTTAGTTTAGATTTCTAAACATCTTTATATAAACTCA